CCTCACTCCTCATTCAGATAGGTCCCTCACATACCCTAACCAGTTAGGTAGACGTTTTAGATAGAAGCAATTAGAAAAAGTTACTGTCGTTCCCACTTTTTTTTCCAGTGTGAATGTGACAACTAATCCCATAAAGAATGGAGGAGGCCCTTTTTTATCTCTCCATTTAAAAGAATGAAAAGTGTTTCAGGGTCTTGACATGTCTCTTAAAAATCCCTGGATCCCTGGCAGTCCAATTTGATGGCAGAGGTAGGAAATATTGATCAAATAATAGGTAACGTTTTCAGTTTCTCAGTGGTAGCTCTTTCTTTACGTTCTTTGTGTAACGTTACCTACCCCAAAGTGGGAAGTTTCCACTATACTTAAAAGAAAAATACAAGAAAGGAAAAGTTCTTCAGTGAGAGATGCCCTTTCACAGGCAGGCTGTGCTTAATGCAAAACTCCCACTGACTGCAATCCATTCAGAAAAGGGAAGAGAAGCTGATGCTTTTGCTTACACATAATGCCTGGTGGGAAGTAATATACGAGTGTCATATCTCTGATCTCTTCTTAGCTGCAAGTGAAATGCTGACTAGAATTCAGGGGATTAAGATGGTTGGTTTTAATAATGTTTGAGCAACAGCAATTCCTCATTTCCTGGGACTCTCATGTTTTGATTTCATAACTCTGCTGATTTTTTTTGTGTGTTTTTTCTTTCCAGGAGAGATTTTCAGCAGCATAGAAAAAGGTAGATACTCCCCCTTCAAATAGAAACTTTACACTAGCAGATCTAACATGACTTTCTAACATGTCTTTTGATTGATGATTGTTGAAAATCCCCGTTGTAAAAAAAGTGGAAGCAAAAGACCACTCCTCCATTCTCACCTCCTCCACATTCATGAGGGAGATTCCTGTGAAATGTGAGGTTTTCCTGCCTGCTGCAGGCACAAGGCAGCTTGAATGGATTTGTTCCTTCCACAAGAAACCTTCAGCCCTAAGGATAAGTCCTTTCTGTAGTAAATTCTTGCCTGCTCTGCTGGGGCCTTGGTAATTTCCTTGAGAAGGAAATCTAGAAAAAAATAATTTTCAAGTAAAAGGAAAGGGACATATAATAAAAGGGATTTTACAATTCACAGATTAATTTCCACTTAGAAACTTTTGAAGCCATTGGGTGGAGATATAAAAGCAGAGTTACCAAAGATAAAGTACTGCTATCCATTTAGTTTCAGCTCTAAGGGAGACGATTTGGGTAGGTCGCAGGGACTAGCCGTAGCAATATGGAACTCCGCAGACTAACGCCGGCGATGCTGAGCCTCACACTGCTCCAGCTCGACTGCTACCAGCCGCTGAACTTTCTAATCTGCTAGTGGCTTTCTGGCGTTGCAGCACAGCAAAGCTCCCA